CGTTTTCCTCACGTATAAATTACCGCAAGTATACGGTATCGCATTTTGCAGAACAGTGGTTCCGGATATCGATCCACAGGGACCTTGTAGATTCAAATGCTGAGTAGTGTAATTATATTATCGTTATATTATCTAGCCGATCGTAAATAAGTGGATTGGTGAGAAACCCTAATTTAAAAGCATGCAAGAACGTAAACATGCAAATATAAAATGTACGTAAAATAAAGTAACGACAACTCAACGCGGGGGACTTCGATTTAAAAGGGACTTCTAGGGCCAAATCCACCTAGGTATAATCAACAACGATCGACAAATCCACCATCTAAAATCACGTTCCTATTCGTTAACCCAGACGCTAATATACTCTAACCCCCGTCTCCAGTGTAGCTAGAGTCTACCCACAGGTCCGACGTCTCCGTTCAGAACCTGCTATTAAGAGAGCATTTAGGTCAAGTCCTTAAGGGCTACCCGAAGTGCATCACGTCTCCGTTTCCACACCCCGAGCTATGTTCTCCTAACTTCAAACAAGAAATCCTCTCTCGAGTTCATTCCTATTTAATATCAGTCTGAGAGCTGATCAACACAATCAGAAGCATTTAATACAGGAAAACATAAACGAAATCAAAACACGACAAATAGAAAGTAGAAATGACGATCGAAATCAATATATACAAGGCTTCATTACCCTAGAAGAAAATGTTCTTAGTTCATAACAAACATAGTATCAAAAGAATGTACAAAGGAAATGAAGAACAAAACGTAAAGAAATTGCGTAAGAAAAACCCAAGTCGGAACCCCCGTTGATGATTCCCGCGAAGAACCGTCGAAAACCGTAAAAAGTCGAAGAAGAATGAAGAGTGAGGGCTTGCTTCTATTTATAGTAAATTGCAAAGCTTCCTCAAGAAGCTTTGCAATTTAAAATATCTAGCCTTGAAAAACGCGCCAGATCGCGATCCAATAAAGCCAGATCGCGATCTGGCTTCTTTAAAAAAACGCGAACCGCCTCCCAGATCGCGATCCAGGAAGTGCGGATCGCGATCTGGGTCTGAATCTAGTCTGCCACTGGAATTTGTCACCAGATCGCGATCCGACTTTCCTGGATCGCGATCTGGGTCTGAACTTTGCACACTACTGGAATTTGCCCCCAGATCGCGATCCGGCTTTCCTGGATCGCGATCTGGGTCTTAATGACCACTTTCTCGGCTTGAAAAAATCGGTTTCGCTTCCAAATGGCTTCGACTTGGCAACAAAAGCTAACAAAACCGAAAAAAGGAAATAAAACAAGAAACGCAATAATATACACAAATAAAGCCGAAACTCGGACGAACGAAGACCAAAACTCGAAGATTTGATAAGCAAAAATCGTGCAAAACGAACACTTATCACACCCTCAAACTTAGATCTTTACTCGTCCCGAGTAAATCAAAACGAAAAATGAAATAAAAACGACAAACTAAACTAGGCCACTAACGTAGGGAAACACGATTGCATTTAGCGTATGCAACAAGCCGTTGAACCCCTGGGTACCACCAAAGGACGAGTTGTGTCTCGTGAGGGTTTTCAGACAACACACCCACAAAGTTGCCGGATTGGTCAAAGCATTGCAATTAATTCGAAAGATAAAACGAGCTAGATAACCTAAAATCTCAGAGTGGCCCCCGGCTTTAAGGTATTCGACTTTCCTACCGACGCAATTAGTTGTTTCTACACCAAAATGAAAGATAGACTCAAGAATCCGTAATTAAACAATAAACACAATCATCGAGGGTTTTGAGTAGAAATGTGGGTGAAAAGTAAGTTTTGATTCTGAAATTCAAAAACTCGAGTTGGGCATAAGTAGGTCCTTTTATTCAATATGATACGACAACAACAATAAATTGTGATTTTTTCTCACAACTTTCTTTTTTTTTTTTTTCTTTTTTTTTTTTTTTTTTTTTTTTTTTTTTTTTTTTTTTTTTTTTTTTTTTTTTTTTTTTTTAAAGTATCGAATAAAAACGTAAAGACCATTGATAGAACTTCTAGCCAACAACTCGAAATCGTGAACACATAATTCAATTCTAACCTGCCCCCCAAACCTCAGGCTATTATACCCCTCAGAAAAATGCGCTCAAGCTTAATCGGAAAGGATTCGAAAGGCTATCCACACAAGTTGCAAAAACGCAGTCGGAAGGTTCATCTATAATTAGCCGGTGATCCAAAATTTCAATTTTAAAATCAACTAGCCCATCTACTAATTCATTAATTGCTTTGCTTCAAAAGAACCCGGAAATGCAAATTACACTCGATCCTAAATGAGATGCATGTGACAAACATAACACAATTACGGAAATCGAAATACATAAACGAGACTAAATTATATGATATGCATGCAAAAGACCAAATCAAAATAAGATAAATAAAATAAAAAAAATAAACAAAGTCTAGCAAAGATACATCGTAAACGAAATATCAATCCAACGACTCATCCCAAAACAAACGAACTAAAAACAAACAGGTTCAACACACACCACCCTCAAACTTAAATTCTAGCATAGTCCCTATGCTCAAAAGCAGAATAAAAAATAAAAGGGAAAGAAAACACAACGTCCCCTAGTTGTCGTGATCGTCCTCGTGGGCTCCTCCCTCCTCTTCCGGTCGTCCCCGCTCGTACTCCTCCCAGGCCTGTGTCACCAGTGTAGTGGCAGCCGCTTGTGCTTGTTCGTCGGCGGCGGAGGTTGATGCTCCATCATATCGAGGCCGTGGTGGGAACGGCCGTGGCTCGACAATGTCATCGGTCCTGCACTGAAGCGCTGCAGCCATGGCCTTTATCATTTTCTTGAACCATCCCACGTTTTCCTCCATAACATCCATCCATTGGCCGACATACTCCGGGAGCTGTGGTGCTGCTTCTTGTCTGCCTCTTCTGGCCCTTGGTTGTGGTCCAGCCGCATGAACACCTGAGGGACCCGCATCTGGTAAGTCCGAGTCGCCCTCGCCTAGGGGTCCACTCGCTGGCTGGAGCTTGTGGTAAGGGAAGATCGGCTGTGGTGACCTGATGAGCCGGTCATCAGCGTATGTGGGGACCCCTGCACGATCACACAGTGTAGTGATGAGGGAAGGGAACATCAGACCTAGAGAGGTATCACCTAAGCATCGTCGGATCTCAGAGTGTATGATCGCGCCCACGTTCACAGGTGTCCTCTTCATTATGGCATACATCAGTGTAAGACGTGGGGCATAGGTCTTGGCCGTCGATTTTGTGGGCATTAGCCTGCTACTGACGAAGTACATCCAAACCTTCGCTTCTCTTGAAAGTTCTCCCCGACGAAACCAGTGCTCTCCTTTTTCCCACTTCGAACCCCTCGGGCAAAGAGTCTGAATCAGCTCCTCATAGGTCGTTGCCATCTTCAGTTGTTGAAACGGCTCGGTCGGGACTTCGGGTAGGTGGAAAAACTTGTTGATTGTAGCAGCGTCATAGCGCACCTCTTGGTTTCGAAGAACGACCACCGACCCCGGGTGAAAACCGGCATTGGCATAGAAGAGCCTCACTAGATTCTCGTTGTAGTCCTCCGGTCGTTTGGCCAAGTACTTCCATTGTCGACGATCAAAGTTTTCGAAGATCGACTCTCTTGGCATGCCATCGAGATCTAATTCCCTTTCTGGAACAAACGGTCGGCTGTGGCGACGTATGAATTCCCTTTTTGCCTCGACGTTCACGTACAAAAGCTCATCTCCCGGTTCGAGGACTACGCGGTCAAGGATGGTGTGTTGATTAGCCCGGGATCCCATCTCAAGTTGCACGTTTCCCGTGCGTGGGGTTTGTTGCTCGTCCGGCACCTGAGATGGTGGTGGTGCGCTCGAAGTGCCCTCCTGGCTTCCCGTGCCTCGAGAAGCCGCCTTTTTCTTCGGTGCGGCTTTTCCCTTTGCCGGAGCCTTCTCCTTGGGTTGGGCTTTTTTGGTGGTTTCGCCCGTCTTTAAGAGTTTCTTGGCCGGCGACGTCATTTCGATCGAATTTGTGCGAGATGGAGGGTCGAAAGCCTTTGGAAGTTGGTTCGGGAATTTTGTCGAACACTTGGCGTGCCCAACTTGGTAAGCCTTTTGATTTCCACCGGTTGTTCGGTACCTATCCCTCCTACATCAATCACAACACCCAAGTGAGAATCTACCACCACAATTAACAATAGGTAGCTAAATAATCAACCCAAGTCATTCAAATCTTTATTTTATCCTTTAGTTCGAAATTAAGAACAATAGGGCAATTCCTATATCTAAACATTGGTTCACCCGCAAATTCATGTTTTGAATCCCAACACCAAGTACAAAATCACGTACTAGCATACACAATTAACAAACAAGGGGAAAAAATCATGAAATTTTGGGGAAATTCGAAAGAATTGAAGAAAATGAAAGGAATGAAGATTAGATTGAAAATTTACCTTTTCTTGAAGATTCACCCACAAATTCTTGGAGTAAATGTGCAAATCGTGAATTTGTGATGTTCAAGTGTGTGATTGATGTACTTTTATGAAAGAAATTTGAAGATTTTGAAATTGGGGAGGGGTTAGGGTTTGGAATTAGAAAAAGGGGAAATAAGAAAATGAAGGGGGGGGGGTTCAGCCTTTTGAGCTGTTTTTCGGCCCCAGATCGCGATCCACAATACCCGGATCGCGATCTGGAGGCTCACCTTGCTGCTTCTGGAAAAAGGCCCCAGATCGCGATCCGGCTTACCTGGATCGCGATCTGGCCCTTAAAATTTCAGCTTCTGGAAAAACGTCCCAGATCGCGATCCGACTTACCTGGATCGCGATCCGGGCCCAAAATTCGCTGCCACTGGAAAAACACCCCAGATCGCGATCCGGCTTACCTGGATCGCGATCTGGGACGCCTAAAACCTGCCAAAACGAAAATTTTAAATGGGGGTGAGATAGAGATGCTGAACCCTAAAATGTAAAAATGCACGAAAAAGCTAAAAAAGATAAAAACGAAAACAAGAAAAAAAAGAAAAATGACAGAACATGAGCAACAATGGGTTGCCTCCCATTTAGCGCCTGTTTTACAGTCGACGGCTCGACTTCTTTTGGATTTATTGGGAGAAAATTAGTGCGACACGCTCCACTTCCTCGGGAGCACCATTCGGGTAGTAATGCTTAACTCGTTGCCCATTCACTTTGAACGACGGACCGTCTCGTCCTCGTATTTCGATTACTCCTTGTGGGGTGGCGCTCAGGACTACGAATGGTCCCGACCAACGGGACTTGAGCTTTCCCGGAAAAAGTCGTAGCCGAGAATTGAATAGCAGGACTTGGTCACCTGCCCGGAACTCTCGCTTCGTAATTCTTTTGTCATGCCACTTTTTCGTCTTTTCTTTGTAAATCTTGGCATTTTCGTAAGCATCATTTCTGAACTCCTCCATTTCGTTGAGTTGAAGCAATCGACGATCGCCGGTAGCTGTTTGATCGAAATTGAGCTTTTTGACTGCCCAATAAGCTCGGTGCTCCAATTCCACTGGCAGGTGGCACGCTTTCCCATACACGAGTTTGTACGGAGACATCCCAATCGGTGTTTTGAATGCGGTTCGATAGGCCCAAAGTGCATCATCGAGCTTCAATGCCCAATCTTTTCGGTTCGTGCTCACGGTCTTCTCCAGAATCTGTTTGATTTCTCGGTTTGACAACTCAGCAAGGCCATTTGTCTGCGGATGATAGGCAAGCGCAATTTTGTGTCGGATTCCCAACTTGTTCGTGAGATTAGTGAGCAGTTTGTTGCAGAAGTGAGATCCTTCATCGCTAATGATTGCCCTGGGTGTCCCAAACCTCGAGAAGATGTTCTTGTGGAAGAATTTGAGGACCGTACGAGCATCGTTGGTGGTGGTGGCAATCGCTTCGACCCATTTGGACACGTAGTCCACGGCAAGCAAAATGTATAACTTCCCGTTCGAAGATGGGAATGGTCCCATGAAGTCTATGCCCCAAACATCGAAAAGCTCCACCTCTTGCATGTTGTTCAAAGGCATTTGGCTTTTGTTGGAAAGGTTCCCTGTTCGTTGGCATCGATCACACCGTTTCACGAACTCGTAACTATCTCGGAAAAGGGTTGGCCAAAAGAAGCCTGACTGCAGAACCTTGGCGGCAGTGCGAGATTCCCCGTGATGCCCGCCACAAGGTGAAGAGTGGCAATGTGTGAGAATCTCACGTACTTCTGTTTCCGGAACACATCTTCGGATGACACGATCGGGGCCGGTTCTGAAAAGCAATGGCTCGTCCCAAAGATAGAAACGACTGTCGTGAAGGAATTTTTTCTTTTGGTGATACGAAAGATCGTCAGGAATGATTCCACTGGCCAAGAAGTTGGCCACATCAGCATACCACGGAGTGTGAGTACTAATGGCGAGCAGTTGCTCGTCTGGGAAGGATTCCTGAATATTTCCTTCAGCTGGAACTTCTTCTAGTATGAGTCTGGAAAGATGATCTGCTACCACATTCTCGCTCCCCTTCTTGTCTCTGATTTCCAAGTCGAACTCCTGGAGTAGGAGTACACATCTGATGAGTCTGGGCTTGGCGTCCTTCTTTGCGAACAAGTAACGAATAGCTGCGTGGTCGGTGTAAATGATCACCTGAGACCCCAAAATATACGGTCTGAACTTGTCAACAGCATAAACGACAGCAAGCATTTCCTTTTCGGTCGTTGAATAGTTCTTCTGTGCCTGGTCAAGTGTACGACTCGAATAGTAGATGGCTTTGAAGATTTTGTCCCTCCTTTGTCCCAATACTGCACCTACAGCATAGTCGCTCGCATCGCACATGATCTCGAATGGTTCCTCCCAATTGGGAGTAATCATAATCGGTGATTGGGTTAGCTTCTCCTTGAGAAACGTGAAAGCCTGCAAACAAGCAGAATCAAAATCAAAGACAGCTTCCTTCTCAAGCAAATGACATAATGGTTTTACTATTTTCGAAAAATCTTTAATGAATCTACGGTAAAACCCAGCATGCCCTAAAAAACTTCTAACTCCCTTGACATCCTTCGGTGGAGGCAATTTTTCAATCGTTTCGATTTTTGCCCTATCCACCTCAAGACCCTTTTTCGAGACCTTGTGGCCTAGAACAATACCTTCACGAACCATAAAATGACATTTTTCCCAATTTAAAACAAGGTTCGTTTCTGTACATCTTTTCAAAACAAGTTCTAGATTGTGCACACAATGATCGAAAGACGATCCAAACACAGAAAAATCATCCATAAACACCTCAAGAAACTCTTCTACCATATCGTGAAATATAGACATCATACAACGTTGAAAGGTAGCAGGCGCATTACACAAACCGAAAGGCATCCTACGAAATGCAAAAGTACCGTAGGGGCAAGTAAAAGTAGTTTTCTCTTGGTCTTCCGGGGCGATTGAAATTTGATTGTACCCCGAATAACCATCAAGAAAACAGTAATACTCGAAACCTCCTAGCCTGTCTAGCATTTGATCGATAAAGGGAAGGGGGAAATGGTCTTTTCTAGTGGCTGCATTCAATAATCGGTAATCGAAGCATACACGCCACCCAGTGACTGTTCTAGACGGAATAAGTTCATTTTTGTCATTCACAATAACCGTCATCCCACCCCTTTTTGGCACAACCTGCACCGGACTGACCCACGGACTGTCAGAAATTGCATAAATCATACCAGCGCCTAACAATTTCAAGACTTCTTTTTTGACTACCTCTTTCATTGACGGGTTTAACCGCCTCTGAGGTTGGACTCTCGGTTTATAGACGTCTTCCATTAGAATTTTGTGTTGAACAATAGACGGGCTAATTCCCTTAATATCCTCAATAGACCAACCTATAGCTGACCTATATTCTCTAAGGACCTCCAGCAGTGTGTTTGTTTCGGACTCGCTCAAACTAGAAGAAATAATCACCGGATAAGTCTTGTCTGCTCCAAGAAAAGCATAACAAAGATAATCCGGTAATTGCTTCAATTCCAGTACGGGGGCCGTTTTCACACTAACTGGTATCTCGGGGACGATTCCTACCTCGTCTACGCCCAAAGTCTCGGCACACTCAAGAAACAACACACAATCAAGCACATCATTTTCAATAGGAGTTTCGGGGGAGGCAGAATGCAAATCAATAGAATTAACAATGCAGTGCTCAATAGAATCACACAATTCATACAAATCAAAAAAAAAGGAAACACAGTCCTCGATCACGTCTATTCTACTGCAATGCTCAACATGCTCAGAGTGTTTAAATGCATCTGTCAAATTAAAAACAACTTCTTCCCCATTTACCCTAAGCATTAAAGATCCTAATTCCATATCAATCATCGCCTTACCAGTGGCTAAGAATGGACGACCTAAAATGATTGGTGCTTCATCATCTTCAGGCATTTCAAGTACCACAAAATCAACAGGCAAAATGAATTTATCTACTTTAACTAGCACATCTTCTACAATCCCATCGGGATATTTCAATGAACGATCAGCTAGCTGTAAAGTCATGCGAGTGCGGTTCAAATTTCCTAAGCCCAGTTTTAGAAACACAGACATAGGCATCAAATTAATACTTGCCCCCAAATCACATAAAGCTTTATCGAAAGTGGAATTGCCAATAATACAAGGAATAGTGTAACTCCCTGGATCTTTCATTTTTGGTGGTAGATTCGACTGAAGAATGGCACTGCAAGTTGCCGTGAGTGTCACTGGTGTGTCTTCTTCGATTCGAATTTTCTTGGATAGGACTTCCCTCATGAACTTGGTGTAGTTTGGCATTACCTCCAAGGCTTCTGCAAAAGGGATGTTGATTCGAATCTGCTTGATCTTTTCAATGAACTTCTTCAATTGATCCTTGAACTTCTTCTTCTTCTGTCTTTCTGGAAAAGGAATAGGAGTTACCAAAAGAGGGGGATTATCAGGAAAAGAAATGTTATTGGGCTTACTAGCCTCTTTTGTATTACTCCCTGAAACGGTGATTTCCGGCTCGACCGGGGTCGGTTGTACAGCTGGCCTTGGTGGTTCGTCTGTCGGATAAGGAGGATCGGTCATTTGCAGACCACTTCGGGTGGTTATGGCTTGACAGCTTTCTTTTGGATTGACTTCGGTATTGCTCGGGAATCCACCTTTTGCCATTGTGGACATGGATTGGGCGATTTGCCCTATTTGCTTTTCCATGTTCTTCATTGTTGATTTCAGCCCCTCCATTTCCTGTTCTTGTCGGTGAAGACGCTCGTCATACGTTGGCCCTCGTTGCTCTCTTTGATGGTTGAAATCGGGAGGTGGTTGTAGAGCATTCTTCGGATTGGCATAGGAGAAGTTCTCGTGATTCCGAATTCCCGGGTGGTAATGAGTAGGGTTTTGGTTCTGATTGTTGGTTCCTCGGAAATTGTTGAATCGGTGGTTCATAAAGTGTGCCTGCTCCCAATCGTCGTTTGTGGCTTGTGAGGTACTTGCTGCTGCTACTCGTTCGGTCTGTGGCCCTCGAACTGAAATTTGGGCGACCTGATTTGATAGGATCGCTAATTGTGCTGAAACTGCGGCTAAAGGTTCGAGTTGATGGACTCCGGCCACCTTTTGTACACCACTCCGTTCGGACGGCCAATGGTACGCATTCTCACACATTCGCTCGACAATGTCTCGAGCGTCTGTGGGAGTCTTGTTTTGTAATGATCCACCTGAAGCAGCATCGACTAGAGATCGGGCTGGTTGATCGAGCCCATTGTAGAATAACTCCATTTGATCCCACGGGTTGAATCCGTGTTGAGGGCATTGTCGTAATAAGTCCTTGAATCTCTCCCAAGACTCGTGCATCGGCTCTTGGCTCATCTGTCTGAAGTTGCCTACATCTCTTCGTAGTTGTGCGGTCTTCGAAGGTGGAAAGAATCGTGCCAGAAAGGCTTGTGATAATTCTTCCCAACAGGTGAGTGATCCTGGATTGAGACTCAGAAGCCAACTCTTCGCTTTGTCTCTGACAGAAAATGAGAATAGCTTCAACCGAATGGCATCATCAGAAACGCCGTTAACTTTGATCGTGTCACAAATTTCCAAGAAATTGGCAAGATGGAGATTCGGATCCGCAGTGGCTGCTCCGGAGAATTGGTTCGCCATGACCATGTTGATTAGCCCCGTCTTCAGCTCGAAGTTGTTTGCGGCTATCGTCGGTTTCCTGATTCCCGAATAGTTCTCATTCATAGCTGGAGTTCGGTATTCTCGCATTGTTCGCTCGGGTGGCAGGTTCGGTCTTGGCTGCTCGTGATCTCGTCCTGGCTCTTGATCGTACTCAAAGGCCAGGTGCTCTGGATTTCCTTGATCTTCGGCCATTGGTTCACTTTGTTGGTTGCGCGTGGCCCTTAGTCTACGTAATGTCCTTTCAATCTCGGGATCGTAAGGTATGATTTCCAAATTTCGACGCCTGGGCATAAACAAAGTGAGTGGTTAAGATCAAGGTAAAAATCGAAAATAAAACAGGTAAATGGCTAAAGTAATACTCAGATAATTGGTAACACTATCAGCAAAGATAAAATCAAATTGGTCCCCGGCAACGGCGCCAAAAACTTGATACGCGTTTTCCTCACGTATAAATTACCGCAAGTATACGGTATCGCATTTTGCAGAACAGTGGTTCCGGATATCGATCCACAGGGACCTTGTAGATTCAAATGCTGAGTAGTGTAATTATATTATCGTTATATTATCTAGCCGATCGTAAATAAGTGGATTGGTGAGAAACCCTAATTTAAAAGCATGCAAGAACGTAAACATGCAAATATAAAATGTACGTAAAATAAAGTAACGACAACTCAACGCGGGGGACTTCGATTTAAAAGGGACTTCTAGGGCCAAATCCACCTAGGTATAATCAACAACGATCGACAAATCCACCATCTAAAATCACGTTCCTATTCGTTAACCCAGACGCTAATATACTCTAACCCCCGTCTCCAGTGTAGCTAGAGTCTACCCACAGGTCCGACGTCTCCGTTCAGAACCTGCTATTAAGAGAGCATTTAGGTCAAGTCCTTAAGGGCTACCCGAAGTGCATCACGTCTCCGTTTCCACACCCCGGGCTATGTTTTCCTAACTTCAAACAAGAAATCCTCTCTCGAGTTCATTCCTATTTAATATCAGTCTGAGAGCTGATCAACACAATCAGAAGCATTTAATACAGGAAAACATAAACGAAATCAAAACACGACAAATAGAAAGTAGAAATGACGATCGAAATCAATATATACAAGGCTTCATTACCCTAGAAGAAAATGTTCTTAGTTCATAACAAACATAGTATCAAAAGAATGTACAAAGGAAATGAAGAACAAAACGTAAAGAAATTGCGTAAGAAAAACCCAAGTCGGAACCCCCGTTGATGATTCCCGCGAAGAACCGTCGAAAACCGTAAAAAGTCGAAGAAGAATGAAGAGTGAGGGCTTGCTTCTATTTATAGTAAATTGCAAAGCTTCCTCAAGAAGCTTTGCAATTTAAAATATCTAGCCTTGAAAAACGCGCCAGATCGCGATCCAATAAAGCCAGATCGCGATCTGGCTTCTTTAAAAAAACGCGAACCGCCTCCCAGATCGCGATCCAGGAAGTGCGGATCGCGATCTGGGTCTGAATCTAGTCTGCCACTGGAATTTGTCACCAGATCGCGATCCGACTTTCCTGGATCGCGATCTGGGTCTGAACTTTGCACACTACTGGAATTTGCCCCCAGATCGCGATCCGGCTTTCCTGGATCGCGATCTGGGTCTTAATGACCACTTTCTCGGCTTGAAAAAATCGGTTTCGCTTCCAAATGGCTTCGACTTGGCAACAAAAGCTAACAAAACCTAAAAAAAGAAATAAAACAAGAAACGCAATAATATACACAAATAAAGCCGAAACTCGGACGAACGAAGACCAAAACTCGAAGATTTGATAAGCAAAAATCGTGCAAAACGAACACTTATCAACGAGCAGAATATTGGTTTTCAACAAATTTTTGAAATTGAATAAAGGTAAGAAATCAGATTTCAATTTCAAAGGATAAAACCAAGTGAAACGAGAGAAATCGTCAACAAATAAAGCATAATATATAAATCCAGAATTAGATTTAACGGGAGATGGCCCCCATAGATCGCAATGAATAAGATCTAAGACCTTTGAGGATCTATGATCATTACGTGAATATGGCAATCGGTGATTTTTTGCAATTTGACATGTACTACATAATACAGGAGACGGCAATAGAGAGGTATGATGAAGTTGTCCTTTTTTATTCATAAAGGAGATAACAGAATGATTCACATGTCCAAGGCGAGCATGCCATAAGTCATATGAAGCATACAAAGATTTATTTTTTAGGATAGAAACAACGGCTGAATTTGCGCGTTCTAGCACATATAGGCCGCCATCTCGTTTAACGGTTGCCACCACTCTTCCCGTTTGGCGATTCTGAATGGTGAAAAGGATATCAGAAAAAGTAACGTTAACTGGAAAATCACTCGTTAATTTACTAATAGACAAAAGATTTTTAGTAAGGCGCGGGACAACAAGAACATCCAAGAGTTGAAAATCAGGGGAATGGGATATTTTACCGGTATGGGTAATGGGTAAAGATGCACCATTCCCGACAATTACACAATCCTTACCAGTATAAGAAGTGGACAAATCCAAGAATGATTTTGTTGGGGTCATATGAGCCGAGGCCCCCGTGTCTAGATACCAATCTGAGGCCTCATTTTCGGAGATGGAACATGTTGCTTTGAATGCTTCGGCAAGTTGAGCCTGAGGAGTCTGACTGTGGCGTTCATATCTTTGTCTACATCGATCTGCATAATGACCATCCATGCGGCAGATTTGACAACGTATGATTCTTTTACCAGTGGAACCTCTGTATCCACGTCCATTGCCTCGAGTCGATTGATAGCGAGAATTGGAGCCTCGCTGATTATATTTTGTAGGCTGGCGATTTGAGGCTATAAACGCTGCAGATGTCGGTGCAATTGACTCCAATGATTTTTGGAAGAGTTCAAAACTCTCGGCTTTTGGGACAAGATCCATGAAAGTCGGCAAGGAGGGAAGGGGCATTTGGGCAGTGGAGAAGCTTGAGAATTCCAAGCCAAGACCGCGGAGAAACCAATGCACTTTATATGTGCCATCAACTGGTCGTCTGATTGCATGGAGTTGATCGCAAAGGGCCTTGAAGGAGCGGGCATACTCCGAAACAGATTTCGAGCCTCGTTTCAGCAGTTGTAAGTCATCATTGAGGCGAATTTCACGGGCTTTTGATCTGTGACTAAAAGTATTTTCCAAGGAAAGCCACACTTCACGGGAAGTGGAGAGTCCCACAACTTCAGCCATGGCCTCCTCGGTAAGAGAAGACAGTAGAAGGCTAAGAAGACGTTGATCAGTTTGTTTCCATGCCAAATATGTGGTGTTTGGTGTTTGTGAATTATCAGCAGCAAGACGGGAAGGTATGTGTAGTGCCATCGACATAGCCAATTAATTCTTGGCTTTCTAAGAGGGGAAGCAACTGACTTTTCCATAAGAGATAGTTGGAAGAAGATAATTTTATTGTTATCATATGGACGAGTGTATTGAAAGGCAGAAGGGCGGAGGAAGATTGGGTAGACATCGGGGAAAAATTAGGGAAAGAAGATTAAGATACCTAGTCTCTTGATACCAGGAGAGAGTTTGAGAAAACCACCACACCGTGGTGATGAATATAATCCGTGTATATATATATATATATATATATATATATATATATATATATATATATATATATATATATATATATATATATTCATAATTACATGCAAGTATGGTAATTACAATTATGAGAGAATCAATTAAATTAAATATATAGCTACAATTGAGGGTCAAAGATGATATAAATAAAAAGCCTTGAACTAACGCAGATCACTTGGAGCATGATTCTCGGCATGCTAAGAATCAGGAGGTTGAGCCACAAGGCTTAGGTAAACATACAATATAGTGTACAATCTTGAACCTACAAAAAATAAATTGCAAACTTCAGACACAATTTATTAATTGCAGATATAAGAAAAATAGCAAAAAAAAATGTGATTGCAAACAACAAATATTAATAGCAAAAATTAATCGCAGATAAAAACAACAGTTAATCGTATAAATGCGGACATGAACTGTAAACAGGTAATAACAACTTCAATTCAGACCAAACATGAACTGCAAACAACTAATAACAACTTCAATTATAACAGAGAATCTCAAAGTGCAAACTGCAATTAGAAATGTACATCTAATTGCAAAACAACTACATGTATTCCCTAGTAATTTGCACATCAAATTAACCACGACAACATGCAAACTCAAATCATACTAAAAATTTAAGTGCAAACTCAAAATAGAAAAATTCAAATCATAGTAATTTTTTCAGATTTCAAACTAAATGCAAACCAAAATTTTCATAAGGTTACCTAAATACAAAAAGGCAAACTCAATATAGCAAATGCAAACTCAATATAATAGTTTCGGAATAGTAAACTGCAAACTCGGTATAACAAATTCACACTAGCAACAATCAAATTTTTAATCTCAAGAAATTAAAGGAGCATACTTTAAAAACAGTTACATTTTTTTCAAGTTAGCATGAATATACTAATAACATTAACAAACCCTGCAATTTATACCTTATTTTGGGGATTCAAAATCATCATCATCGTTCAATGTCGAGAAAAAAAAAACAGGGGTTTTGAATAAGTATTGAAAAAATCAAATAATCAAATAGGAGTATTGCTTACCGAGACTAAATCGTGTTTGAGCCATTGTAGGAATATCAAACAACAAACGACAAAACCACATACGGTGTCTTCACACAACAAACGATCTCCAAATAGCCAAATATATATGTATATATATATATATATATATATATATATATATATATATATATATATATATATATATATATATATGGTTCCGCAACGTAAACAGAAAACGGAAGTTTGTAAATTGCAAACGGTTCGAGGACCCTACCTGTGGCAACGCGATTCAATTTTTTGCTAGGGTTGTTATTGATGAAATCGATGTTTGGGAGAGATAGATTTGATGAAATCGGTTTTTGGGAGCGGTGAAATTTGTGACTTGAGGATACGTCAGATTTATGAATGAATAGGCCAACTGCAGGGAGAAATATATGGGATATTATTTTAGGTATTTTTATTTCCATATATTATTAGGGATATTTTGGACACTTTAAAATAATAAATTTACTAAAAAGTGAATTTTATTAGTCCATTTTATTTCAAAATATAAAATAGTAATGAATGTGCATCATGTTGTTCTACGCCTTCCACATTTTTCTTTTATTTTTTGTTAAGTAATATTTAATTCAATTGTTATTTGATTGTATTATATTCTTTTTAGGGTTATAATCTTAAGTTTTATTTATTTCAGTATGAATAGTAAAAGAAATGTTACATTTAGTTTCATCAATATGAATAAAAACTTAAATTTAATTTTAATAAATTTTATTACAATATAAAATATAATACAAGGAACATTTATTTTGTTCTTTTCTTTTTTTTCTTACAAAATATTAGTTTTACAAAAGAATTTGCTCAACGTGAATAGACAATTTAAAATTTAATTTTACTAAATTTGCTTAAATATAAATATGATAAAATAATGTAAATAATGGAGATAGTATAATATTTTATTAAAATTATATAAGGGATTTTATACAAGTTTAATGTAATAAAATATAACAATACAAACTTAATAAAAGTATTATATCTAACTAATGAATAATTTTTATTATTTTAGTTTAATATGGATATAGTTTTAGGGAGTATTAACATGTAGCACTAGAGCACTTTTTATTTTTGGCTATTTGACAAAAGTCTCTTAATCAATTTTGGTAGAGTAATAAATCTAAATTTAAATCTCATACTTGAGATAGCCCTTTCTATAAAATTAAAGAAAAAGCTCCTTAAGATATAGCTTTCTGATTAGTGATGGCAACGGGTCGATTCTGGGCCGGGTATGCCTAAACTCGAGACCTGACCTGTAAAAAATATATAAAATCCAGATCCGGCCCAACTCGGTTTAACTTAGACCCAGACCCGCCCCAACCCATACCCGAATTAAACGGTTCTAACCCGCCAGATCCGCTAGACTTCTTAGCATAAAAAAAAGTTTATTATTTTTTAATTTTCATAATATTTTGCTTCTATATTATAACAAAATAATCTAAAAATTAAAAAAAAATATATATTAAAATACTTCTATGAGTGATAGAAAGTGAATAATAAAATTATAATTAATTATATTTAACTTCTACGATGAGTAAAGTTCAAAAGGTAAAACGGCTAGCTGTGGTCGACAAGTGATACCTTTTTTTTACTTATGAGAAATGAGATTCAAAGAAATGAAATGGTGAAAAATGAGTAAATGAAAATAGACACAGTGAAAATTGAAAGTTTGATAAATGAAATCATAAATTAACTTTTATATATAGATTAATTATAAAATATAATATATTTATACGGGTCAGTTCTGGGCCGGTTCCAATAATACATGTAACCCGACCCAGAACCATCTGATTCTAGAAAATTAAACCCATTACCCGACCCAGAACCATTTAACTTACCCAGACCCGCCCCATACGGATTGGTTCTGGGTCTAAGACCCGGCAAACCCGTACCCATTGCCATCCCTATTTCTGATGAAAAAATTTATTAGAACTAAATGACAAGTCTAACTAAACATTTACTTCACATACTTCATAAATTTCATTCCAAAAATGCCTCACAGACATAAAAAATAAAATTTGCACCAAGTAATATTTAAACTGCATTTATCATTTTTTGTTCTGCATTAACCATTTTCATTTTTGCAACTAACATCTTGTTATTAGCTTTTTTTCGTAGAACATGTTTTTTTTTTCATTTTCGTATTTTTTTTCTCTACATAATATTGAAACTTATGATTTTTATTTTTATTTTTTTTCTGCCGTAATCATCTATAGAAACCCATAGGAAACCGTAGTAGTTCGTAGTCACGTAGATACTCGTAGGAAACTGTAGTAATCCGTAGTCACATATTCTTAAACCCTAACTCCTCATTTGAACTATAGCCATCAGACACCATAAACACCCATAGACAATCACATACATCTATAGACATGAAATCGAAAAATCATAGATCCATCCCACCAAACCCTAGGTTTCCTCCACCAAACGCCGCTAAAGATGCCACAAACCCCACCCACGTTGTCGTCGCTAGCCCCACCCCAACATCGTTGCGCCATCGGCACCATCCCCCAACCCCGAGCGCCGCCTCCAGGCGAGCGCCATCCTCATGCCCAACGCCGCATCACCACCAGCACCATCCCTGAGCCGCCGCCGGCATCGCTATCCCTCCCCCAACATGCCGCCGCCTCCAGCGCCATAGTCAATTCCATCGTCATAGCCACCACCTCCTCACAAACCATGGAGTGGTGTGGTGGCGAGAAAAAGAGCCTGAGATCGAGAGAAACAAAGAGAGAGAGAGAGAGAGAGAGAGAGAGAGAGAGAGAGAGAGAGAGAGAGAGAGAGAGAGAGAGAGAGAGAGAGAGAGAGAGAGAGAGAGAGAGAGAGAGAGAGAGAGAGAGAGAGAGAGAGAGAGAGAGAAGAATGAAGAGAAAATATAGATCTTAAAGAGAAACGTGAATATGTGGGTTATAAGATTTAGGGTGTAAGAGCAGGATAGGGATTAAAAAAATTAAGGAGGTGGGTCATATATTATTTTAAACTAAGAATTTAGTTAAAAAACACTTGGATTTAGACTTGTCATTTAATTCAAATTATGTTACATATGAGGGGTTCATAGCATATGACCCCGAATTCGCCTTATTGTATTATTATGGAGAATCAATTAAAAGATAGGGTTTTTATGCATAAGTCTCTAACCAACCATGTTTATTGTTCTAGGTTCAGGGTATATATCTCTTTCATCGATAAGTCCATCCCTTTAATATGTGTTATAAATAAAGGCAAAATTAATATATATGACAAAATTACCCATAACCCTTTAAACCCAATTCCTAATTGTAACCCCAAACCACAAAAATCCAATTTTGACTTTTTCTTTCTTTAAACTCTTTTTGTGTCTTTCTTTAAACTTTTTTTCTTTTGAATTTTTATTTTGCCACCAGTCTCCGGCGGTTGACTTTTTTTTCTCCTAAATTTGTTATCTGTTTTCTTTTACATCCGCTGCTGAACGTTGACCGTAATTGTACTGTCATTGGGAGTAATTGTACTGTCGCTGACAGTACAATTACTGTAAACACGATAATATTACTGTCAACCCCATCAATATTATTTTTCTTATATTTTTTATTTTTTTTGATTTGTTGTCCACTCAACGTAATAATATTACTGACGTTCACAGTAAAGTTACTGTAAACACAATAATATTGTTGTCAACCACATCAATATTAATTTCTTTTTTTTTTGGCTTTTTAT